GTTCTGATTTCGTGGAGGTTCCTTTCGTAGACCGTCAACCTTGTCGAATAAGTTTTTATGGAATTAAATATTAATTATTAATTTTCGAACGCAAAGTTTTGTGTGAATGTCGTTGATCCTGAATCCAGTCATTTGGCTCGTCGTCCATCTTGTTCGACCCAGAAACCTGTTTCTTATCAATTCTTAACACATTGCTCTATGATTTGTTTCTTAACTATGATCGGTACAACTACTTTGTCATTAATAATTTATTAGGAAAAGAACAAATTTGTATGCTCATCGTATGTCTACGTTTACTATAAATATTTAACGATTGATAATAGAAAAGTAAATATTTAATTTATGTTTAAAAGAACATAAATAACATTTGGATTTGTTAAATTCAGTTTAAAATTCTTGTTACGAGTCTAACACGATGTTGTGGGTCAAGGGGTTAATATTATCATAATTACAAGAGTACATGTTAATTGGAAATAAAAGAGAAAGCAACAGGTTGTTGGAGAATTTGATTATTTCATACAGATTAAGTGAAATTATTGGCACGAGAAATGTACGAGTTCCAGTCAATGTACAATATAATTCTAGTGGAGGGAAAAATAAATTTCAAACTGAAACGATCAAGTTGAGCTTCATACAAAACTGATTATTTATTTCTTTTGAAGTACAAAATTCTGTTATTATTTATTATTGTGAAAGAGTCCATGATCACGGGAAATAAATTGTCACAAAGGATTATAGATGAATAGTTGAATGACCATAACTTTAGTCGAATTCTAGACTAATCGTCTCTCGCAGTGCCTTAGTTCCCTGTAAGAAACGAGGTTTTCATTACCTGAGCAGTTCACGGATTGTATTGATTCAAACCTAAGAACGACGAACCGTTCAACTAAAAGATTCAATTGTACGACAAATGAAACCTGGAATCCCCTTCCTTAGTTGGGCTTCTAAATAAAATGATTTCACGTATGACATAGTTATAAATAAAATGTATTGGAATAATTGGGGCTATGGTTTCAGTTCTCTCCGTTTTCCATCGACGTTGAAACAAAATGGCAAGGAACTATTTCAGGAGAACAACAAAAATGGGCAGAAAACTATTTATGTGAATATTTATTGATACAGAATACCACATTTACATATATTTACACATATTCAACGTAATGTTAACGACGGAAACAAGATAAATTCAATCTTCTATGTATGTCGCTACCTAGCAGCAAATGTTAAAACAGGCTATTTTGAATATGTGTTCTGTCTCAGACTAACTTTCAGATATTTAAAATCCACAAAAGAATTTCTACCGATAGAAATCGAGCTAAAAGACAATGAAGCATAGGGGAGAAGTTATCAGTAAGGAAAAGAATTAAACATATTAATTTACGTGGAATTTTTCCAGATGAATAAGCCATTGCTCGGTAGATAAGACCGTTCTAAGCTTATCACAGAGCAATTCAAATAAATGTATTTAACATTCAATGTATTTTCCATGGTTATTTGTGGCTAAATATTATGTCTCCAGCTCCGGCAACCAATTACCATTTCCATGTCGCCCGTAATATTTACAACAGAGTATAAATAAATAAAAATAAACAAATGAGAAACAAATTGTTTTAACTTATTCCATCTATATATTATTATATTTCTCTGTACGTGCTCAATGTTTCTACATCAATTTAAACACACTATTGAAAATTAAAGTCATTACAACTATTATTATATAATGATATTATCAAATATTATTATTTCGTAATAGTTATTGCACTTATATTGAACATTTTTTACACTAGCTTACAAAATATTGGTCCACGGTAAGCCATAGTAAAATTATTCGTTTTACAACTTTCGACATTAATTGTTACTCTGGTATCAACGACAATTATAAGTGTCGTAGATCAATAACTCTTGATTTCTTGAACATTACATCAATCTATGCACTTCCACCTTTAACACGTTAAATGTCAGTTACGGATCACTGACGCTTCCGAATTACTTGAAAATAATCGTAACATGCAAGATAATCGATATCGAATCAAAATGTTTAACACGTTCAGTGCCACGTGTACCACGTATGGTACACATCAATTTCCGTAAGAAAATATTTTTAAGAGAAACATGGTCACGGACGGCGGTATACGTTACGAAACATCGAAAACATAAAGAAACAATATCAAAATATATAAAAATGACCAAAAACTTGAATATAACTTAATATTTTATTTAAAGAATTAATACTGTTCATAAGCAAAATATAACCAAAATTTCCGTGGCACGGAACGTGTTAATAACGTAACAAAGTTGATAATAGTGTAATGCAAAGATTGTAACGCCAAACAGTGAATAATTGTTGCCACTTTCCTCTGTTAAAAAATGTACAGAAAAATGGTCAAGATTTTACCAAGATTTCCGTGGCACTTAACATGTTAATTTAAGCGCTCGAACGACAAAATCGCTCAACGGATAGCTATCCAAGTTATTTCAAAGATAAAGATATATTACCACGTTGACTGCCACGGCTGTCACCGATGACCGGAGCTTTGCAATTACAAGAAAATAATTATAACTTACAAGATAGCCGATGTCAAATAACTATATTCAGTAGCGTAAATAACAAGAAATAGCGTAACGTAAGAATTGTGATACCAAATAATTAATAATTCTTCATTTTTATTTTTCATAGGAAAAGAATTAGTGACATATAAAACGCTTTTATTTCTCGTGGCATTTTTCAACGTGTTAATGATCACACAACTAGGAAAGCTGGCTGCAGTGCGTCAGGAGCACATTCACGCTGGCGTGACAGCGGCCGTCAGCGCCATGATGATTTCTACATGTAGCTTGAACATTGTCCCTATCCTCGTAACGAATAAGACAAGGACAAATCGACTAGTGTGACAAGGACGGAGATAGAACTACGATGCCACCTACTATGAAAAATCATCTTATCAGTCCCTGGTACTTATGCGGGAAGCATAATGACAAAACAGGTATCCGACAAGGACAGCATGTTACGGGGAAAACTCGTGGTCCTTGGAGAATGGCTATCTCACGAAATGGCTCTCGTAGTCAAAACGGATAAAAGTTTCGGAAATGAACTAAGATTCAACGTAGTTAGTGTTTTCTACAATACTGTCTTTATTGTGTTTTTTCGGAGTGCTTATATACATAGGTTCTCAGGGGAGGGATCGATTTCTAAGCTGCCTATGAGTTAGTTGTTTTGGAAAATTTTAGATGGCGCATAGTTTGTTACGGTATGACTCAGTGTGCTACTCATCGCTGTCGGGGTGGTTATCTCTGTTTTACCCGTTACACGATGAGTAGCACACTGAGTCATACCGTAACAAACCCTGCGCCATCTAAAATTTTCCAAAACAACTAACTCATAGACAGCTTAGAAATCGACCTCTCCCCTGAGGACCTATGTATATAAGCACCCCGAGAAAACACAATAAAGACAGTATTGTAGAAAAACGTCGGATTTTAGTTCATTTCCGAAACCTTTCTCCGTTTGGACCACGAGAGCCATTTCGCGAGATAGCCATTCTCCAAGGACCACGAGTTTTCCCCGTAACAAGTAGCATTCTCAGTGACATCTCCTTTAAAAAGCATCTCATCAGTCTCTGGTACCTATACAGGAACCATGATGACCGAGGAGGTTCCGACAGAAACAGATTTATGCAATTTTTCGTGCAAGACAAGGAGAGAGATAAAAGTGGCGTCATCTTTAGTGGTAAGGAATTTTGCATGTTTTTCCCTTTCCTCGCAATGAATACGACAAGGATGGTAATAGCACTTTCTGTGTCACCTCCTTCGAAAAGCATCTCATCAGACTCTGGTACCTACGCGGGAAGCATGACGACCGAGGAGGTATCCAACAAGCAAGGACAGCGAAAGCATTCCACGTTCCACATTTTTTAAACGATATCACCATCGAATTCACGGGAAACCCCTAAAACCCCCTTGCGAAACCCCGCGAACCTCCTCGCGAAAGGGCTTTATTTTATTTATTTCGGTTAAAATAATAAGTTTAAAATTCTGGGAAAAGCATAATCTCAAAATTGCAATCTTTAACCCTTGGCACTCCAGGTTGTTTTGTAAACTATCAGCAACTGCAACAATTTTTATAGTATTCCTAGCGAAAATTAGAAATGTTATAACATTTCTTCGATCTTTTATTTTCCTTCTTAGCACAAAATTTGGATGTGCGGAAGATCGAATAATTTTAGGGTAGTTTCTTTAAGATTCATTCAAATATTTAATATTACAACTGGTGCAATATTGGAATCTACAGAGTTCAAAGGGTTAAACCCATTTAAAATTTCGAAGAACGTCCTAGGGCTGTTACGTACGGTGTTTTCCTGCGTTATTTTTCCTTCTTCTGGAAAACGCATGCTGCTCCAGGGGAGTTCTTACGTGTATACAAAACCCTCACTCCCTCGCGGGGTCCATCGACGAGAAAATCCAGTCGCGCACACAAGTATCCCTACCATTATTTTTAGTCCATTTTTTTGGTATATAAGGGTCATCGACTTGCTCATCGGGGTTCATTTCGAGTCACGCAAGGCGACAGATAGGTAGTGAGATCGGGTTTCTACGTTCTTTTGAAAGGTCTAACAATACGTATAATTATTGCTGAAACCACCCCTCGCATTTCTCAGCACGTCAATCCGAGAAAACGCGACTTGGAGTCTGCGACGCGACACACATTAACAATTGTACTCCAGAACTTTTATCCAGAATATATTTAACCAGTTAACTGTGGAATTTAGTTGGAAAAATCTCTGGTTCTGCGCGCAATAAAATCGAAAGATGGAGCGTGTACTCGTCGAACGCAGGACGAATGCACGTAGAATATATTTTAATGAAAGATCAGAGCGAAACAAAGAAGAATTACATGTTTATGCGAAAAAATAAAGAATTCGTCGCTGAAAGAATTAGTATCATGTCAAGCTTTACGATGACGTGTATACTCGTCAAACACAGTTAACTGGTTAACAATTTCCACTATTTCTGAGCTGAATCCTATTTAGTACTCTCATCCTTTGAAATCGCAGGAATAGTACATCCCTACAACGGTACACTTTTGCCGCTCGAAGCATTAAAGTTTATGCAAACAGAATGTGCAAGGTAAGACGCTGATTTTGAGAAAGGGTCCTCAACGTTTTTAGACATTTAGGAATTTCTTATCTGAAACTCTTAAACTTTCACGAAACTGGCTCAACAGTTCAAAAGCTATCCCACCTCGACGCTCAAACAAAAAAAGCTAAAAATTCATCTCTTTTTGCTATTACGCTCTCCCGAAAATGGCTCAAAAGATCGAAATCTCTAATTTCGCGAGGCTCAAACTGAAAATGTTCGAAATTTAACACTCTACGCATTTAAGTTCTCCAAGAAAACGGCTCGAAAGCTCTAACGCCACAATTTTCAAACATTAAAACTAAAAATTTAACTCTCTAGGTATTTAGGCTCTTCCAAAAATGGCTCAACAGCTCTAATGCCGCGATGCTCAAACTAAAAAAGCTCGAAAATTAACTCTCTAGGAACTTAAGATCTCCCACAAACGGCTCAAAAGCACAATGTGAGAGCTTTCTACCTTCAGACCCAGGAGAAATTAAAGCTAACGAGCTTTCGAGCCATTTTTGGAAGTGCTGAATTTCCTAGACAGTTAAATTTAGAGCTTTTTATGTCTAAGGCACGCGATCTCTGCGCTTTCGAGCTTTTGAGAATCTTTTTTGGGGGGGGGCTTAATTTCCTGGAAAGTTGATTTTTTTGCCTTTTTAGTTTGAGCCTCGGGAAGTAAATGCCTTCGAGCTTTTGAGCCGTTTTTGGGGAGAGCTTAATTTCCTAGAGAGTTAAATTTTTGGCTTTTTTAGTTTGAGCTTCGCGAAGTAAATGCTTTCGAGCTTTTGGGTAGTTTTTGGGAGTTTTTATGTTCTTAAGGGACCAAAATTTCGAGCATTTTTAGTTTGAACCTCGCGGAATTGAAGTTTTAAAGCTTTTAAACCATCTTCAGGAGTTATTTTGGTTGGTATCATTCAGCTCTTTTCGGGTCAGTTAAAAGTTTAAAACTACAAAAAACATCCTCGTGAAACCCTTCGGACACCCGCGAGAGACCCCTAGAATCGATATGAGATATTCCTCCAATCTGTAGCCATTGTGTCAGTAATGGCAGTTTCTACTTTTAGATAAAATCAATTTCGTTTTATTATTAAAAATAGTTTAACTATATATTTTAAATTCTATTGTTAATATCCGTGATATTCTTTTTATAAATGTTCAATTCGTAACAGACTGTCATAAGATGTTGGTAGATAAATTATTGCAACATTATAATGTAGTGAACATTGTAAATAAATAATATATTGAATAAACGCGTCATAAATCCTGTATTGGTGGATTTCGCCACCTATTTGAAGGACGCTGAAACTTCTGGCCGAATAGTACCAGTGTTTCCCCGCTAGATGATGTCACCAATGATGGCTAAGGAAAGACAAAGAAACTTTCATGTGAGAGAGGAGGACAGACATGGTTGATTGACTGCGCCACCTAGTGGAATCAAGCTGCTACTATTTGGCTAGAAGTTTCAGCGCTCCGGCAATAGGTGGCGAAACTAATCTGTAAATGGGAAGTGAGAAAGACAGATGTCTTTTACAATTTCAAAATACAATTTAATAGGAACACCGAATTCTTACAGAAAATGTGCAGAACTTGACTACATATGATTCACAGTGAACTTGTCTTGCTTTTCGAACGTATATTATTATACGTAGAAAGAAGGGAAATATAATTATATAATAAAAGCAGCGCCCTGTTCAACCGTTTGCACTCGATAATATTATAGGAACTTTGATTTCTTTTATTAATTATAAATAAAACAGTTGCCTACATAGAACTCTTAAGGCTAGGTAGAAGAAAGAAAAGGAAAAAGGAAAAGAGAATTAGAAAACTATAGTATCTACAGTAGGAACTTTGTGTTTGAGACGACAAACTTTGCCGTCCAATACTTCGACCATTTTACCATTTTACAATCCGCGCGAACTCACACGTCGGTAACGTTTATCTACCAATTTGAGCGTTTTGCTGCGGATGGCGCCACCAGTCAAAAACGCAGATTTTTCGGAAGCCTAAATCTTAACTTATCGAAAGCTTTTTAGATCTAAATTCTAAATCTTATTTTCAACGCCCTTATTATTATCGCATTTATTACTATCGCATTTAATACGTTAAGCGCCACGAGAATCTTAAACGATTTATGCATGGTTTGTTCCTTCGTAGCAAAGGTAAATAGGAACAATTATTAATTATTTTGCATCGGAATTATTACATGACACTATTGTCAACTCATTTATGTTATTAAATATTTTTAGGCGACTGCAATCATCTTGCATATTGTAATTTTTGTGAAGCAATTAAGGAAGCGTCAGTCACTAACCTACACGGCATTTAACGCGTTAATAATAATCCTACGGCAGCTGTTTTTCTTCTTCAGTCTGAAACTTAAGTTTAATTAATTCTAACTTAATTTAGCCTTATCTTAACTATACATTCGTCGCAGTGGTAAAGGGAGTGAATCAAGGAAGCCTTTGATTCGAACGTGAGACAAATCAGAGAAGAAGTCTCCGATTAAACGAGAGCAAAATGAGGGCGATGCAAACTTAATGCTAACTCTATTTAGTTTTATTAGATGACAAACTATACGTGTGCCGCAGTATGCCGAGCAATTATGGGGTCAAGAAGCAAAGGAGGTGAATCAAGAAAGAAGTCCTTCATTCCAGAATGAGAGAAATCAAAGGAATAAGTTGTCTGCCACGGTGGTCACCGACGAACCAGGCTTCCAAATTGCTGAAGAACAATTACAATAAGAAACTTGATTTCAAATGAAAATATTTAGTAACACAAGTGGCTAGGTCATAGCGTAATATGACTACTGTAATACTAAATCGTTAATAATTATTCTCAATATCATTTGCCTTTGTTATTAAAGAATAAGTATTATTATTTAACCAGTTAAGTGTGGAATTTAGTTTGAAAAATCTCTCATTGGCGCGCAATAAAAACAAATATGCACTTAAAATATATCCTAACGAAAAACTAAAGCGAAACGAAGAAGAATTACATGTTTGTCTCAAAAAATAAATAATCCATCGTTGAAAAAGGTAGCACCATTCAGAGTTTTAAGATGACGTGTATACTCGTCAAACACAGTTAACTGGTTAAAACGCTAGAAATTCTCGTGGCAGTCAACGTGTTGAAAAAGAGCGAAATGAGAGTGTCGCGAAGTAAATCGTAATCAGACTAGTCAGACCATAGTCACGAGTTACGATGCTCTACTGATCAGAGGACGATCGCAACCGGTGCCAAAGTTCCTCCATTAACCTTTCCGCTACAAAATTCCAGCTATACACGAAAGATGACTATAGTCGCCGGCCACAAAAATGGAATCAAAAGTTAAGACAATATAAATGTAGACGGTTCGCCCTTTTGCGTGTCGATACTTGGGAGCCTGAGAGATAGTACAGGCCCATTGACAAATTTATGACCAAGGGGACCACCATGACCTGGGTCACGTACCCCTCGTCTGAAGAGTTTTCCTTTTTAGAAAAGCAGTTGAGGAAAAGCAGTTAGTCGCCGTTCTTCGTTAGAGCCACATCGCGTAATAAATATATTTAACCTGACTACGGACTTCGTTTTTATTTTAGTAGCTCTACATAAACAATAACTAAAATGCGTTCATGGAACGTCCTTTTCACAGAGTGCATACCGGTACATAAAGTGGTAAATACCGGTCCCATCCTACCATTGTCATCTAATGAAATGGTTGATGTGACAGACAGCTCGATTCACTTGCATACATGGCTAAGTGAACCGGAATAAATGGAGGAAAAAGCGAAATCAGTGAATTAACTCCTTGCCGTATTTTTCTAGATTAATTTAACAACAATCAATGTTGTTCATTACCCACGGATAAAAGCAAACAACTGTTTTGCTATCAATGTATTATCTTCTAATGAAATCTTCATTTGAAGTAGAATGGGACATTTTGTTGCATTTCTTCCAAGTTGTCGATGGTAAAATATTACACGAGCTTAGTACACGAGCTTAGTAGCAATGAAAACTAAAGAATGATAAACTCGATAGGAACTAGTCTACCTGTGATGTTAGTTTCCAGATTCACCATGAGGAGGTTGCTATTAATAAAATAAATAAATCCGGCATGTTTTCATCACAGTAAAATTAAACTTCTTTCGTTGTAAAAGTTACTGGGATGGTCATGTAAAACGAGAAGGGGATGTTAACAATTATTTACGTATTTCTCTTCGATATATATTTAGAAAATTGAAAGGGATAATAATTAGCATAGTAAAATAAAATACATTGTATTTCATAGTAGTTTACTATCAGCTGTTACTTTCTATCATATAAAAAATATTAAATGTAGTAATAATAAGTACTTACAGTATATAAAAAAGAACTAATCGTTCGTTGGTAATTAAGATTCCTAGATAAGCACGAAAGCACAGAACATGTTTAACACTAGAAATGACTTAACACTAGAACTACTGTACCAGTTAAAATGACTAGTTTCGATTTATTTGTTTCGCAATTATTGATATCTTCAAAACATTGAATACTTGAAATGATCTTGAAAATAAACAATTTCACTTGAATACTACAATGAACGTCTAAAGAAACTGAAAATCTATTGTTACAATTTTTATATGGATTGTATTCTAATCGTATTAAATGTTATTATTAATGGTAGTTCTAGTGTTACGATTTATTTTTATGTAGGTATGTGTATAAGTCTTAAGTTTGTACTAACAGTGGTGCAACTTGCATTGGTATTTTCGATCTTTGTTGTTAGATGGCGCCAGAGGTCTATAAATGCATGCATTACTCGACTGTCAAGTATTAAATTAACATTAATCTCTGTTTTCTCAAGCTAGACAAGTTTCTCCTCAATTCAAATTTATTAATCATTTGTTTAACAACTCATACGAACCACGAATCCTGTGCTGATAGTCATGTTCGTTTTTTAACACTTATGATGTCAATCGGATATCCATTTTGTAACATTTTTATATACAATTTTGCTTTGATATCGTCACAGTTTAACAAAAAGGCTTTGAGTATCTCCTTTGTAATATTTTCACGTCGATTTTTGTTCCGAAAATGAAGAATTTATATAAAAATGTTGTAATATTAAGATGTGGATAAATTTTGGTTGTCAACATAAGGGTTAAATATAAGATAATTCACTAAAATTCATCTGTTGAGCTCGATGGCTGTTAGAACGGACTGTATTCAAATCAGACGAAACGTTTCAAATACCTCATCAGTTTATCTATCACGACGATCGAATAAATAGACAAGACCATGTTTCAGGCTGGATTCCAGATCAATCAGAGGAATACGTCGCATGATTTGAATTGTTGGACAATCAGTCAGACCTATCCAGACCAGTCATTATTTAGGTTAATTCAATAAACATAAATATTCTTAGAAAATAACTTACTCATATTAATGCTGACATCAGGCATCAGCGACACGACAAGACTGAATCATTACACAACGTTCAACATTATAAGTTTTAATCAGCAGAGGTATCACACTCAAGGAAAATATTTCAACTATTTTAGGTAATTTAAAATGGACAACAAAATTATCAAATGAGTTTATAGTTGTTATTTTCTTGCAGGATAATTATAAGTTAAATAAAATTAAAACTGAATAGTATGTGTCTGGCGGAAAAATTAAATTGAGAAGTGTTAAAATTCCTTAATTTAAGGAATTGCAATCATTGTAGCTCAGTCAAACTTATGAAACTGAGGGAAATTTTCGATACGTTAAATACTCTTTCTTGAGTAGCGACGCGACGACTAGTTTTTCATTTTGCGTCACTGTGTTAGAATCAACTACGTCTCGGAGTCGTGTATTTTCGTTATAATTAGACTGAGGATCTTTATGCAAATTAAAATTTTTAAGAATGCAGCGAGGAAAATAGAATTACGATGCAAACAGATTTTTTCTAATAAATGTTATAAAAGACACTCGAATATTTTATATATATTTTCGTATCGTATGCATTTTGTGTAATTTTTGTAGTTTTTAATTCTCTATAAATGTGCAAAAATCCGTATATTAGTTGTAATAAATTATTATCGAACCGATTTACGTGTCATTATTTATTCCGACATCCGACAGAATGGACCAGATATCACTGTGATGGGTTACCAAAATGTTCAATCACATCGTTTCGAATATTTAAGTATCTGTTTATCTCTGGCAACAAATTTGAATCACTTCAAATAGGATTCGATACCTTTTAACTCTGGAATATGTTGAAGGTTTTGAATTCGAGCTGAGACTCGGTTTTATAGCTTCGATGGTGATATGAACCGGACTTCTGTAATATATCAGACTGACTGCGACGGCAAATCCAAAGATTCAAGACTTTCAAGTTCTTGAAACCTTTCAAAACTTTCAAGTTGTTGAAAACTTTCAAAACTTTTAAGATCTTTAAGACTTTCAAGACTTTTAAGACCTGGAAGACTTGGAAAATTTTCAAGGCTTTCAGGACTTTCTAAATTCTTCAGGCTTCTCAGACATTTAATATTTCAATACTTTGGATATTTCCAGCACTTTCAATACCTTTAATATTTTCTAAAACTTCCAAGACTTTCAATACTTTTAAGACATTCAAGAGCTAGAAGATATCCAATCTCGTTCGAAGTGATTCAAACGTCGGTAGCCTCGAAAACATCGAATCAGCATCCAGCGCCAACCTCAAAGATTACGTCAAAGCATCATGTCTCAAACATTAAGCCCCGAAAGCTCGATCTAAGTCTCCCAAATAAACAGTAAACCGTAAGATTCCACCTAAAATATTAACATATTACTGAAACCAAAACAAACTCGACATACAACACATCCAAACAACTATTCTCAGAACTCGTACAATCTCTACTTCCAGCGCTGCACCGAGTTGCTTGGAAACTGGGCTCGAAACGCGCATCTCTAAGAATCGGCGATCGCCGAGTTGCAAAGCGGAATCCCGTCGCGTCGGTGTCCCGCCGATCGCATAGGCCAGATCGGTTCAACAAATTCTGCAAGCTCCGTTCGAAAGTTGCTTGGCCAGCAAGAAACGGTTGCGCCCGGTGTGGACGCCGAGCAGAGAGAAAGAAGGGTAGGTAGCATAATTGGCCGGGAGGGATCTGTTGGCGCGCACGGCGGGCGCGGGCGCCTCGTAATTCATTTAGACGGTAGTCCGTCGAGACGGGCTCAATTACATCCGGCGCAAAAAAGGCTCGGGAGCAGGACCGGGCCAGCTTCTTCGTACGACGTGCGTGGTCCGCGCGCGGTGTCGCCTTGAAATACGCTTCGCGTACTTTTCTTTCAAAGGGGGGAAAAGAAGCGAGGCGCGCGGCTCGTGTCCTGCGTCACTCAACCGAGCACCGAGCGCACCGCGTACCGCGAACGTCGTTAAAGACTCTTTGTCGTTCCCGGCGTCTCTCTCTCTCCCTCCGCCGCCGCGGGCTCGGGTCGCCGCCATTAAGCAAACTGTACCACGCGCAGAACGCGCGGAATCCCTGGCGCGGATCGTCGTCTCCTAGGAGGTCCAAGCATTCTGTGGTCCTTCTTCTTCGAGGCAGCCCGTTGAGTGTCCCATCCCCTAATAATTCTCTCGAAGCCTCCGTTCTAGTATAGTCGGCTACTTCTGTGTAGGATCGAGTTGGATATGTAGAGTGAGTTAGTAGGTGTCATTGTTTTTTGTAAGATGCAAGGTGCTAGATGCGGTCGAAACGTTCAGTTACGTCCGGGTGGTCTCCGTGTTGTTATGGGTATATCAGAATAGATAGGGTAAGTGAGAGATAGTCTACTGTTTTAAAAAAAATTATAATAAATATTGTTGATAACAAAATATGAAATATACTGTATAAATATTGTTGAATGACCAATGCATGGTACCTGTTTTTATCACTGTTTTTGGGCATCTTCAGCTGAGCTACCTTTGAACCCTGAGTCTCAATGATCAGGGTTCATCTCTAAGGCTTGGTCATCCTCGCTCTTTGCCTTCCATGTTTTAATATATAAGTAGTCGAACTACGAGGAGTATTCAGTATTTGAATTATAAACTTAGTGCCGAAACTCTGTCGAACCTGTTACTTCGCGAGCTTTGTATTTATGTCGTCTTGGTTAGAAATAGTATTGTATTTACCTGTGTGACTTGAAAGTTGAAATATATTTATACATCAGTATATTTCGGCTTGTCAATCTTTTCACCTGGTATACAACAATGTATGCAATAATGTTTCTTTCACTTGCCAAATCGATTAACTTCCTTAATCATGTAAAAATTGTAGTAATAATAACAATTACTCCAAGGATATTCTATTGTATACATTTTACATGTTAAATAAAAGATACGAAAAAGCGTTAAGTGAAGAGCTTTCGACTGCAAATACACATATGTAACCGTTAAACATTTGCGGACGGATGTCGGTATTTCGGTGAGATGAAATATTCAGATTTGGAAGACTAAGTCGTGGATAAATGATCAAATTAGTCGAACAGCAAGAGACCAGCGCGTAGTTTTCTTTTTTCTATTAATTAAGAAATTAATATATAATTTAGCTTCATATGTTGAAGGTTTTGTATGTTTCGAAGAATCTTCGTCCGCAAAGAGTTACCACTTTGTATTTAAATTCATAAAGCGTGGCATAAAATGTAGAAAGTTGATTCTTTTCTCGAGTTTATTCGTATTTTACAAAGACTATTACGTTCAATAAAATACGTTAACCATGAAGGTTGCTATCGAAACGAGTGCTGACAGTGAACGTATTGACATTAAAACTACCAGACGGTTCAAACTTCCCCATTTCTGATTTCCTCATTTCGCAATTATTAAAAAAATACCAGATGTTTCTCTTTGAAATTATTAACACTAGGTTTACGAATATTTTAATATACCTATTCTATCTACCGACACGCGTCGATTCAACTCATGAACAAAATCATACATTTTCTAGAAAACAACTTAACCTCTTCTGCTGGAAATTAATTTAGAGATTTGGCAAAGTCCCACACGAAGAATTCTGTTTTTACCTATTATACACAGATATGTACATTAATCTTGTTTATTAAACACTCTGTACAGAGTGATGCATTTCAAAACAAATTAGTATATGAAACGCAACAAGAGTATCGATGTGTATAAGACGTAATTAGCAATTTTCGAACGAAAACATCTCAACGTACATGCTACGTCTTTCCAGCGCAAGAGGTTAAAAAACGACATAATTACACACAATGATCTTATAAACAAAACTATGAGATGTTCGGATAAAAGTCGGTACAAGTATTAGAAAAAATATGTAATTTTCCTCGCGAAGTTCAAAATGCGTCAAAATGGCCGCCCGGTAAACTGTTAAAGAAATTGATTTAGCAATACGTAAACTGGTTTACAGATCAATTAAACTCTCAATACACGTACTCTTGGAGTTGCTACAGAGGAATTTCAAAAAGTTAATTTAACTGTTCGGTAGGTTTAGTGTTAATTTCCTGCCAAGTTGCCAGCGACACGCAGGTGGCCGCGTAACGAGCCGAAAACTGCGGATTGAACGCGGTGAACGGTCGCTCGTGAAGAAAATGCGAGCGCTGTTCTCCGACGGGGAACGGCTGCCAGTGGGTTTAATCGGCCGGTCGAGGCCCAAGACAATGGGACCCGGTGTTGATGGCAATATTTTAATGAAGTTGCCGAGTTCCCGGTACCGGCCGTCGCGCCTGCCCGGCCACGGAGACGCGATTCCAGGAGCGCGAACGAGAGAATCCCTTAAGGGCGGGAAGAGGCGCCACCCAACCACTGATTTCCACTTACCGATATCGTTCCACAAAGCTGCCTTTATCTGTCGGGCTTCTTCGGGACGTTCGCTTTCTCTCTTCCTCTTACTCGAGGCTTTCGCTGTTTCTTTGGTTGTTTATTCGACTCGTTGACAGGGGTTGAAAACGGTTACGATATCGGTTTCGGTTCTGGAAACAGTTATGACGATTAAAGTTGTAATCATTGTTGGGTGTCTTCTTTACCTATGGAAGCATAAATTTATTAATGAATCGTGTGAAATAGGTGAGATGTGTATGTGCGAAAGGAAGAGGAAAGATATAGGAGATGAAACGTGAAAGTAGTGTAATAAGACAGGATAGGATAGTAATAATAGAATTTTGAAAGGTGGCATTGCCGCGATGTTATTAACAACTGGTGCAGGAAAAAAGTTCAACGCTAGAATTACCATGTGGGTCAAAATGACCCATTCCTGATTTCTTTTATAATTATTACAAAGGCACAGTTACTTCTTAAAAAAACGATTAAAGAATTTGATTTAGTAATAGTTAAACTGAAATATAAACCAATTGAAATCTTAATAAATTTACGCTTTTAGCATTTATAAGGAGATTTTAAACAGACGGTTTAAACGTTTGGTACTTCTAGTGTTAAACAAAAAGCACATTGTTCTTTCACGTCTATAAAATTGCAAAATAAAATCAATTTTAAGGGTTGTTGGTGGAGCTATTTTGAAACATCTGAACTTTCTGACAAATTTTATTTTCCAATTTTATAGATATGAAGGGACAGTGTATCTTTTAATTCCTTAAGTTATCGTTCTCGAACGCGTTGAGACCTTCCTTTTCCCTTTTTCTTTTCATTCGACTCGCGAATCTTCGCCACGGGAACATCCAGCGATATTGTATTGTGTACAAGCACGCGGTTATCGCTGCGATGCGCGCTTCGAATCGACGAGGTTTCCGATCTGATCGGACGAGAGGTTTCGAAACGCTTTTTCGCGGTTCGCGATCGCTGCTGGCGAAATCGTTCGTCGATCTACTCGTGCCCCTGTAACTCCTTATCGCTCGCCGAGTGATACATCTCGGAGATCATCGTTGCGTGCTCCGGTTTCCTTCGAAACCCGTCCTTCGAGCAGCGTTTCTCGGTAGGAGGGGAAGGTCGATACGAAATAATAAGGTGGGAACTTGACAGATTATAATATGAGCTAAC